AAAAAAAAGAAATAGAACCAGTCATTTCATGTTTCTGGTAGGTACATGAAGGAGATGCACACAGTAGGGAGAGTTAAAGTGAAAAGGAGCCAACAAAGAAATAGATAAGAAGGACTCATAAACATCTCTCCACACATTCAAAACAAGTTTTTATAAAGAGGTTAGAATATTGAACTACTGTATAGATCTTACCTACAAAATGATCAGAAAGATTTCTGAAACTTGGATTCTGAAATTTGACGTACTTATCTGTCCACCATGTAAGTCCAGTCTTTAGCATTGGAACTTGGATATGTTCAGATGTTGAACGGATATATGAAAGGATTATGGTATCTGAAAGGAAATTGCAAGTTGTATCAGAGGTGCATGCTAGTAATTTTGCTACTTTTCAAAATGTAGAACCAAAATGCAGAATAGATGAAAAAAAGGGTTTTTTGCAGTCTCAACACTCCTACATGCCACAGATGCTAGAATCACAAGACCATTCTTTTTCCTGCTGAAGTTGAGGCAATTATTGAAAAATACTCTTGAGCTCCATATAACTTGTATTCTCTGACCATTCCTTCAGATTTCTGGCAAGGAAGAATTTATTTGTAAATGAAATAGCATACGTCGGTGTTCTGGCTTAATCAAGATAATACATAAAGCATTAAAAAAAAAAAAACAAGAACAAAAAACCCCTGCCCCTCAGCTGCAAGAATTATGTCCTGGATATCTAGGAAGTCATACACTATGGAAAAGGAACATCACAGAGATAGAAAAAAGTCACCTACCATTGAACATGCTGTTGGCAATAGCACCGCAGGGAGCAATGGGGATCTTATTGGAGGTCACTTTGAATGGAGCACAGTCCTTAACATCCTGGATGCAAGATGACACAGCAGTGAGAAATGCTTTTGGCAAACTCTTAGAATACTGAAAGAGGGAACACTGGCAACATTGATCAACCTACCCTGTTTTATTGAAACAGACCAGTATTTTGGAATACTATCTGTTTTTCCCAGGCTTCTGGTTCACTTAGACAAGGACATTTTTGTGTTTTGGAGATATGCATGTACCTATGTGGGTATCCAAATGTGTTTCTTTTCTCATTATCAATACATAGCTTACCAAAAGTTCTGTAGGAAGAAACTTAACCTTGTGACTATGCTATCTATTACATTAAATGCTGGGATACATTTTTTTTTTTAGGTGTAGATGGACACAACACAATGCCTTTATTTATTTATTTATTTATTGAGAGAGAGAGAGAATTTTTAAAAAATATTTATTTTTTAGTTTTTGGTGGACACAACATTTTTATCTTATTTGTATGTGGTGCTGAGGATCGAACCCAATGCCTCGCACATGCCTGGCGAGCGCGCTATCGCTTAAGCCATGTCCCCAGCCCCAGTACTCTTTCTCAGTAACAGTTATCCTGTATATCCAGCTCCTTAATTCATGCAAAAACAAAATAAGCATTACTGTTTTATTAAACCTTAACTTTTTAGTTTATTTTTCATCCCCTTTTAGACTAAAAAAATCCCCCTGGTTTAAAAAATAAAAAGAATATTACAAAAAATTAAATAAAGTCTTACCCTTACATCCTTACCCATCAGTTGGTTATGACTTCTGGATAGGACATAGCGATAGAGGTTCTGATAGAAGCCATACAATTTGTAGTACATATAAACATCACCCTAAATGGGAGAAAAGCAAGAAGAAATAGACAGTAGGAGAAATTAAGTGGAATGTTAATAAACTTGGACAGAAATTTTTAAGACAAAAAATACTGAAAAAAAATTAATGGGAATTGAAAGTTCCTTTTTGGAAAATAGAAACCCAAGAAATAATTCTTAACAATCACTACTGGGAAGTCCTGGCCTATAGACATTATTGTAATGACTAAATAACCTATTTGTAAAGTTTTCATAAGGCCTACTGTTCTCTTGCTTTGAATTTTTTTTTATAATCAGGCTTTGTATTTTCAATATATAAAATTTGTTTTTACAAATATTGTTATTTCCTAGATATACCAGGAGAAGCACTTCACTAGGGGTTGTGGTAGGCACCTAAAGTCATATAATTTCAAAGCAAATGTATGAAATATTATTCAACATTGGAGCTACTGAGCATATTTAGGTGTCTGTGCATACTGGGCACATAAAAGCCATGTGACTAGAAGCTTCTTCTTCTTTTTAAAAAAACTTTTTAGTTGTAGATGAACACAATACCTTTATTTTATTTATTTTTATGTGGTACTGAGGATTGAATCCAGTGCCTCACACATACAGGCAAGTGCTCTATCACTGAGCCACAACCCCAGCCCTGAGACTAGTTGCTTCTTGTGTCAGCCTCTGGATGTTTTGCCTTTTTATCCCTAGGATCTAGCACAGTACCTGGCATGTAAAAATTACTCAAGGACACAGATGGAATGACTCACTGATCCAAAAGAAGGCAATCTTTTTGGTACTGGGGATTGAACCCAGGGGTGCTTAACCACTGAGCAACATCCCCAGCCCTTTTTTATATTTTATTTAGAGATAGGGTCTTACTGAATTGCTTAGGGTTCACTAAGTTGCTTAGGCTGGCTTTGAACTCACAATCCTCCTGCCTCAGCCTTCTGAGCTGCTGGAATTACTGGCATGTGCCACTGTGCCCAGCTCCCTAGGGACACTTGACCACTGAGCTGCTTACCCAGCCGCTTTTTATTTTTCATTTTGAGATAGGGTCTCACAAAGTTGTGTAGGCTGGTCTTAAACTTGAAATCCTCCTTCCTCAGTCTCCTAAATTGCTGGGATTACAGGCATGTACCACCTTACCCAGCTAAGAAGGTGATTTTCATCCTAAAAATAAGTAGCCTTGTTGCCATGAGAGATACCTTTCCATGTGTGCTATTGTAAAAGGCTGTTCAGTCACAGGCTACCATTGTGATTTTACCTTTATGGTGACAAACCAAGCCTCTTGAAATCACCAGGCAGAAATAAGACAGATTTTCCTAACACCACACATGGAAATGTCCAATGTAGTTGTTTATAATTAATATACCACATACCTTCAAAATAATGAAGGCCTGTTATCTCAAAATAAAAAGGCTTACCTTTATTAAGTATATCTTCTTGATGATATATAGATATATAGATCTTCTCTCTTAGAAGAGCCTACCTCAGTATCCCTGCCGTGCTTAGCCCCTGATTTGTGGGACCCTGGGGAGCATGGCCTTCATGCAAACACTTGATTTCAGGGCACAGGAGTTGAGATCATCCCTATCACTCTCTGCAGTAGATCTGAGAAGAGCTTTCTTCATGTCCTCCTGACTTAATCAAATGAAAAATGCATTTCCTTCAACTCCTCAAAGGTATCTCTGGACTCTGTATCCCTCAACTGCACCAAGCTCCCATTGACCTGGTCCCCCTCCTCCTCTTCATTGATGGCTCTCTACGTGCGATGGATCTTACTCCTGACAGGTTTTCTCTTGAGTTTCCCGCTGAACATTCCACCCCAAGGAGGTGCTGTTCCTACCTCACACCCAGGTGGTTCCAAACCTAAACCATCATCATCTCCTCAAAACCCTCCTCACCTCTGCCCCTTCCCCCTTTCTCCTCTATTTCCTAACTTTTCTCCTTCCCTAGGGTCAGACCCATCTTGTAGTCTGGCAGCTTTCTCAGCCCCCAGCTCCCTTCTCATTTCCCTCTCAGGCATCCCTCCATTAAGTCTCTTCTGTGTCTCATTTTGTCTTGGTTTTTTCTTCTCACAGGACCTGAACTGACAAATATGACTTTACTCAGCAGGAACTTCTCAATATTTCTTTGCCATTTCTTACAGTGCCTGACAATCAGGCCAAGAGTCTCTTTGGGATTAGGCAGTTACTTATAGGGAATATCTCAGGGTGGGGAGCTCCCAAGGAAGTCTCACTGACATTAGCTTACCATGTGACCTTGGCCAAGTCACCTAACCTCCCAGCCCATTAATTTTCTCATTACAAAATGAGTGGTTGAATTCAATGATCTCTAGTTACCTCCTGTGCTGACATTTGAAATAAAAACTATTTGATTGATTTTAAGAATCAATGTTACAAAGTTGGGAAGGTAAAGAATCTTAAAACTTAAAAATGAAGAAACAAAGGTGAATAATAATACAAGGGATGGGGGAGGGGTGATAAACTCAAGATTTGTCACCCTCACCCTGCCTTATTTTCTTTTTTAAATACTTTTTTTTGTTTGTTTTGTTTAACCATTTGATGGAAATTGTCAACTTACGGAGGAGAGTTCAATAGAAGTATAACAGCACAACGTCAACTGAACTCTTCAATTTCACTAACCTTCATAGTCTTTTGAAGGTTGAAGGGAATGGAGCAGGTGCATTGTTTGTCAAAATTTAAGGCATTTTCCCGCATTTTAGCACAATCTTCACAAATGTTTGTGTAATTAATCTGTCAGGCAGGAAAAAGAACAATTATTAATTTAAAAATTACACGAATTCTGATCAAGTCCCAAGTACACCAAAGTCTTCAACTTGTCTGGGCATGGAGCCTTCAACTTGACTGATGGGCATCTCGTGCTGTGCAGGGCAAGTGTTCCAGGGTGTTTCACGGGGAGTGGGCCTTCGTGCAGCCTTTCATTTGAGAACCTGGCAGCATTTGGTCACTTGCCTGGAGTTCAGTATTTCTGTTGCATTCTCATGCGTCCTGTTGGGACGAAGCCTTGCCTCTTGATCATAAAGAAGTGTTAGTAGGAAGGTATTAGTCAGTGACTCATGAAAACTGGGCTTATAGTCTGAGTCTAATCACCTTTATGAGGAAGTTGCTTCATTGTTTTGCCATTTTATTGTATGAAAAACATTCATATCTATACGTGTATGAAGATGTGAGAAAAAACAAAGAATAATGTTACCTTAGATTGGGTAGAGAGAAGTGCTGGGAGGGGAGAGGAGGGGATGGGGGGAAGGGAAAGGAATAAAATAGACATTATTATTGCTGTGTTTATATACGTGACTGTATGACCAATGTGATTCTGCAACCTGTACGCTAAGAAAAATGAGAAATTATATCCCATCTGATTCAAATGTATGATATGTCAAGGTCATTGTACTGTCATGTGTAACTAATTAAAACTAAAAATTAAAAAGAAACCACATTCATATCAATGGATTATTTAAAATGGCATACAGAGGAAATTACCCCAAATGACCAAACACAGAGAAAGAAGTGTTCCAAGTATGATAATTGATGTATGTGGAATAAATCTAGTTTAAAAATGGTATTGCATTCTGCTTGTTTCTTTATTTCTAAGTTTTATGAGTCAATATGTATTGTGTACATGTACTAAACTATCACATTGTATTCAATAAATATGTATAATATTTACATGTTAATAAAGAAACTAAAATAAAAATGCACTTTTTTTTTTAAAGTTGAAGGCCCATATCTTTGGCTCTTGCTCTCTATCAGTGCAATTCATGGATCCTTGGTATTGGCACTCCTCTTGCCTCTATTAGTGGCATGCCTGCTCCTCTGCCAGTATAAAAAGCAACTGACTCTGCCAGGCCCTTGCACACAAATATGGCTGAGCTGACCAGCTTGAGGGCAACTGTCGTTAATAGGTAAAAGGGACAAATAAAGCAACCACATGGGCTCTATCGCTATCTGTACTGGTGAGCTGAAAGAGGGATGTTGCAATCTCATGTAGGTCCCTGTTGAGGCACCATGTTCTTTAACTAATCATTCCCATTTATAGTCCCAAAGCTGAAAATTCCTGGAAACTGCATTTAAAATGTGAGATGGAGGGGGCTGAGGTTGTAGCTCAGTACTAGAGCACTTGTCTAGCACATGAGAGGCACTGAATTCAAGCCTCAGCACCACATAAACTAACTAAATAAATAAAAGGTATTGTATCCACCTATAACTTGTGAGGAAAAAAAAAAAGTAAGAGGGCCCAGGTGTGGTGGTGCACAGCTATAAGTCCAGGGGCTCAGGAGGTTGAGGCAGAAGGATTGTAAGTTCAAAGCCATCCTCATCAACTTAGCAAGGCCCCAAGCAACTTGATGAGACTCTGTCTCTAAATAAAATATAATAAAGGGATGGGGATGTGGCTCAGTGCTTAAATACTCCTAGTTCAATCCCCAGTATGTATAACTAACTAACTAAATAAATAAATAAAAGTAAGCCAGGACAAACCTCTATTTCCTGAACTTTCCATGCAGACAATAAAAGGATGATACCTATGCAAAAGCAGAATGCTCCTGTGGCAAAAAATATAGTGAAGATTGCCTGGTTTGAGAAGTGGAGCCGGTGGGCAGGCAGCTTTTGTTGCTTTATGGCTGAGTTCTCTGGCATTCTGGAGAGGTGATGTTGGAATTCCTTCTCCATGTTGGTCCTGTAGGAGACTAGACACACTTCTGGTACATTTAGAACATTCCTACTCATAGTGATACCACATAGTGTTAATGTTACAGGAAGAATTACATGAACCCTTCCTTTGCAGTATCTTTTCTACTTCCTGGACTTATTCTTTAACCAGATCTGATATTCATCAGGAGCACAGCTCTCTTCATTCAGTTATTGCTAGGTATATTTTACCCAGGCTCAGAAAGACTTGTTGTGCTAAATGCCATACCTAGAAGGGATAATCCACAGCAAGGTCTATAGAAATCAACATCGGGCAACAAACACACAGATGTAGTCACTATAGGCTATTTCTGGAATTTGGTGACTAATTCAAGGCAAGCCCTTCCTGAAATGGGAAAAACAAATTTATCTTTAAGAACTTGCTCAGATCCTGGGATACATAAAGATAAATTAGGGCTGCCATTTTTTTTTTTTTCAAATCTGGCTGTCACCTAATGTGAGTATAAACCGAGTTGGAAAAATGCTCTCAGATAGCTAGCTTTGCTATTTGTGACAATGAGGAAGGGAGAAACATACAAGGAATTGTAGAACACAGATGTTTAATTTCAGCAGATTCCTTTTTTTTTTTCATTCGTAAGAAAAAATCCCATAGAAAATGCAGATTAAAACATCTCTTTCTAATTTCTCCCAAGTGCATTATTTGGAGTAGCCCGGATAAGGTAAGGGAAAGATCATCAATTAAATGTTCAACAATGGTGTATAGTATTAGGCCTGGTTGGTTTTTGTTTTTTTCCCCCACTTAATAGAAATCCACTAACATTTTCATTAGGCTGTTAACAATAGTTAATTATTTAGAAACTGGCATTAAGAATGCAGAATTAGGATTTTTAAAATTAAGCAGTATGTACATTTCTAATCTTCCCTTTTTATTAATTAATACTAGGCAGAGATGCCATAGTGGACTGTTTTTGTGTCAAAGAAGGCAATGATTTTGGCAAATGTGCATTTAAAATAATACAAAATAAATGCAAGTACTTATAATAGGAGGTTTCCAATTCAGAGTCAAATCTTCCTCTTTGCAAAATTGCAAAATACCAATGGGAAACTTTCTTGAGACATTTGAATCTGACTTGGAGGTGGTAACTAGCATGGCAGTCCTTGTCAGACAGTATGTGTGGGAAGATGGAAGCAAATACTTCTAGTTATCATATACTATTGTTTTACTGAGAGAACAGAGTTAAGAAGTCAAGTTTAAAAGGGAATAACAGGCTATGAGATTAGATTATATGTGCAGTGTTGACTTACAAAATATCAGGTTTGTTTGTGTTTAGGTACTTGTTTCTGCTTTGGGTGGGAGTATACTACATAGACAATGCTTAGTAACAGGGCCATCCTGTAATAAATCAATAAAAATTGTATTTCTTAGCCTTTTTATAAAACAAAAAGCTAACCAAGATCCCCAACTAAAAGAAGCTTCCCATGTTGTATATTAATTACAGTTCTCCCAAGATACAGAAAAAAATACATTGTATGATTAAATGTATATATACAAAGAATTGCTCACATGATTATAGAGAATCTGCAGAAACTGCAATGTCCCAGTTGAAGTCTGCAGGCCAAAGCCTTATAAGAGTTAGGAAGAGCCAGTGTTTCCGTTAGAAAGTGTCAGGCAGGAGAATTCTCAGACATGGGGGAGGGTCAGCCTTTGGTTCTATTCAGGTCTTCAACTGATGGCATGAGGCCCACTCACGACAGAGGGCAGTCCACCAATTTAAATGTTAATTTCATTCCAAAATATCCTCATAGAAATACTCAGAATAATATTTGATCAACTATCTGGGTACCCTGTGGCCTGGTCAAGTGGACACATGAAAATTAGTCATCATAGGCACTGCACACTTCTGGTGCAACATTCTGGAGCTATAATCAGATATATTATATTCACCTATTTCTTCTAAATAAATCTATTTTAAGTTTGCAAGTAAACTTCGTATGCCTTGTTTTCAATATCTCCAGAACAGGTCTCCTCAGCACTACTGACATTTTGAGTCAGGTATTTCTTTGTTGGAGCTATACTATAGCATTGCAGAATGTTTAACTGCATCCCTGGCATCTACCTGGTAATGTCAGTCACAATCCCCTCTAGATGCCAGTTGTAACCCCTCCCCCTACAGTTGTGGCAACCAAACATATTTCCAAATATTGGAAATGTCCCTTGTGGGACAAAATTGCCTGTCTGAGAATACTTCTAGACTGGTACTTATGTGACAGTTTGTTAGCAGCTGTTGTGCTATGGTGTCATTAGAAATTTGTTGAGTGATTTTATAAATTTTTGCCTTCATTTTTCTTTAACCCAATGTGTAGTCAGCCTTCTCAGGCGTTATAAGCCATATTTTATATTTGAAGTTGCCTTATATCTTATTGTCTTTTCCTATTAGCTGTAAATATACTACATATGAATACAGAATCTGGAAGTTTGGGGGACACTCACAAATATAATGTTCATAACGATCTCTTTTTTTTTGGTTTTGGCAAGTCAGTAGCAGTTTGGTGGATTGGTCTGGATTCTAACAGAAATAGATTGCAATGTCTTAATTTGCAGATTTGTTAATTCAAAAAATCGTGCTTGATATACTTTTTTCCAGATTAGTCTAAGACATGTCACTTGACAGTTGAATGCTAGTATTTGAAAGATGTGATCCATTTTCTTTTTTACTTGTGACTGAGAACATCTCACTTGTTAGGGTTAAAGGAATAAAAATAGTAGGTAAGGTTAGGCATAGTTTGGATAAAATTTCATTCTATGATGGCTCTTTTTTCTCTTTCCTTTAACTTGCTGGGCTCTAGTCAGGATCGTTGATAATGGCAAACTTTTCCCTCAGTTCTTCTGTGTGGCTTTCGGTCTGCGGAGGTGCATGAGCGGCAAGTTACTAGTGTGCCAGAGTGTGAGATTTGCTGGACTTCTATTTGCTAGGCTCTGAGGCTTGTTTGACACTTCACAAAATTTGAATGTGGAATTTCATGTGGGATCTGTTTGCTTTAATATCTCTTATTTGCTGTATATGCCTGAGTCTCCAAACAGACCAGTTGGTGTCTTGAAGTGAAACAGGAGACCTGGGTTTGACTTCCAATTCTTCTGTTTGAACTAGTGTATGTCCCTTCTGAGATTCAATTTTACTGTTGATAAAACGTGAATAGTAACATTCTTCCTTCAGGACTATTTCAGTGGTTAAACAGACAAAGTGTGACAACTGTTACACTGTTTGGCACAAAGTAGATAACCAGTCAACACTATTTAAATGAGTAAGCCAATAAAAAGAATTTGATAAATAAAATAAAAACAGTACTGCACTTAATTCAAAGAATAAAATAAATATTCATGAACCCATACCCATATCAATAATTAAATAAATAAGTAAACGGGAATAAGGAATAGTTCTTTCTTACAGAGGAATTCCAATGAAAATATATTAAGAGAGTAAGATAAACAAAAAAATCCTTACAGTAATAATTGTAGCAGAAAAGAACTACAAATAGTTGTTAAAAAAAATAGTGGGCAAAGTTTGAGGAAAACTAGATATTTTCAAAGCCTCAAAATATATAATTATAGAGAGAGAGAGAGAGAGAGAGAGAGAGAGAGAGAGAGAGAGAGAGAGAGAGAGATAAATTACAAAGGAAAAAACAGCAACTTTATTGTGGAGAAAACTGGCAGATATCACCTTGATCAGGAGATCAAGGCTGACATGACATCACTGGTAAAAGCCACATTAACATTATGTATCCCCTGACATGACACATTGAGAAGCACATACCACTACTGTGGTTTTGGCCAAAAAATGCATGACTTCAATAAAATCATAAGAAAACAATAGACAAATCCAAACTGAGGGACATTCTGCAAAATGTCTGACAAACATCAAGAGTGTGCAAGTCATGAAAGAGAAGGAAAGAAAGAGAAACTGTCACTATCAGGAGATGTAAGGTCTAAATGCAATATGGGATCCTGGCTTAGAAAAAGGATATCAGTGGAAAAACTGGTGAAATCTGAACAAAGTTTTTGGGTTGTAGTTAACTGTATCATACTGATGTTGATTTCTTAGTTTGGCAACTGTATCATAGTTACTTATATAAGATATTAACATTGGGAGAAGCTGGGGGAAAGGGACATAGGAATTAACTATTATTTTTGCAACTATTCTGAATGTCTGAAATTATTTAAAAAAAAGTTAAAAAAAGTAAATGGATAAGACAGGCACAGTTATATTCTCTCATATGTTTACAAATGCTACATCCATCTGTGGCTCTTTCTAGCTACCACTGCCACCCTTCATGCTGGGACCATGCTTCACAGTTTACAGATATGCTCCATGTGTACCATCTCACAGAAATCCTGCAAAATATCATTCCCATTTCATAGCTGATGATACTGAGGTTTAGAGAGGAAAGGGGCTTGCCTCAGGTTACCCAGCTGCTCTTTCTTTTCTTCTGCATATTACAACAAAGGATAGTTGTAGACAGAAAAACTCAATCTGTTCAATAAAGATCACACACAAGCTTGCGATTCTTTATTATACAAGGGAGTTGACAAAAGGGGAAATTCATATCGGTCAAAGAATTTCCACAGACATTCCCAATGATCTAATTAACATAATAAAACAATAGCTGATATCCACTGAGTGCTTGCAATGTGAAGCACCCTTAAATATGATGCAAATTCTACTGTGAAACTCTTCATTAGGACCAGGTTAGAAAAGGCCCAGCTTCAAGGATTCTGACTTGCATAGGCTGAGTACTCCCATTTCTAGAAGTTCAAAAACCTCCTTTCTTATCTAAATGAGAGAAAAGACAAAAAAAAAAAAAAGGTTTAAAATCAAGCAAAGATGGTGAAAACATTCAAACATCTGTACTTCTAGGTATTTACACAGTTGATATGGCCAGTATCAGAGAGGCACAAGTCCTGATCAACCTGATTCAGAGTTGAAATAGTCACACAAATAAAGGAGGAGGTATTATAGAACACATCAGTTTCATTAACATGCCCATTTGTTTGTACCCATTTAAAATAAAATGCCATACAAATGTGGCTCAAAAGGACTCTAAAGTGTGCTTTCAATAACCCAGATTATATGCATTATTCTACTATAGGATTTTATTGTCTTAGGATAAATGCTAATGATGTCAATATAATCAGTATAACTGTGATGACAAAAAATTTTGATATCATTTCTCATTATTATAACTAAACAATAGTAGGATATTCAGACTTAACATTATAACTGAAGTCACCAAATAGGGTCTCATGTCTAATATAAAATTTGTTAAACTAGTTTTTAGAAGCTGCCTTGTTCAGAGGCAGAACGTATGATTCTATGTGTGTTTTGGGGGAGAGAATAGGGGGTGGGTTGTAATTGACTAGAAGTTGTCTTTTACCCCAAATCGGAGGTTGATAATAACTCACCAATCAATTAAAATCAGGTTTTGTCAATCTGGGGATAAGGTTTTATGTGGTAAATTATTCAGCATGTCTGGAGGAGCAATTCCAAGTCTATTCTATAGTTACTGCCCTGATTTATTTCTGGTTGGTGACTGGCAGCCATGTTTATTACTATGCAAACCCTAGATTGAAAAATTGGCCCCATGGTAACATGGTGGGTGGCAAAATCAATTTTTCACATTATGATTATAGTGGATTACTTTCATAAATATATAATGAGCTAAAGCTCATTTATAAAGGCATTCAGTCATTCAATTCTAATCCATTAAGACATCAAAAAAAATCTTCCCAACTCCATAAAACCAAAATATCTTTCTAAATTAAGTTACTGGTTTCTGGGGCTGAGGAGAAGCTGGCAAAGGTACAAGTTTGTGTCTCTCATTCTCCCACCTTGGCCCAAAGTGCACATATAAGAATGATAGGCAAAGATGATTGTGTGTATGAGGAAAGGCACAGGAAAAGTGCCAAGTCCTTCCGATCTTCCTGTATCTCAAAGGCAAAGTACAGTCATTGTCCTACTAGGGCAGAGGCCCTTGGTCATTTAATAAGTGACAAAGTGGACTCCCATATAACATAAAGGATACAGTTCTAAGGAGTTGAGTGGCCTCCATAATTGTAGTTATCTCAGAGTTAAAAGATAAAAATCATGTCAAAAGACAGAATGTATTGGCTCTCCATATCAAAGACTTTATTACCATAAAAAAAAAGGATTAAAGGCTATTGCTGATTAAACAGTACCTCAGGAATATCCATCATTCTCCTCATCTTCTGATCTCTCCAGTTCCAGTCAAAAATCAGAAACTTTAAGGGGTTCAAAGTAAGGCCACCTGAAAGAGAAAGCAAGAGTTGCTGCAGTAAAAACCTCTGGACATAAGCTTATTAAGATGATTTTTTATTCTGGTTGCTTTTCGCTGCATTTGCTGTCTTTTCCCCTAGCAACTAATCTCTGCCCATTAAGTGCTGTCCTTGCCTGATGGAAAGCAAAAAAGCCCGCTGGGACTTCTTTCCTTTCAATTTTATTATTGCTCCTGAAAAAAAGCAGAGAAGCTGCTCTAGCTAAGCTTGTTGAATCTGGAAGGTGGAGTCTCCTTCCTGAAAGAACTGGATAAAGTGTATTCTGCAGTTAGGCACAGTGGCCCTTGGAATCTGCTTGACTTCCAGAGGTAAGTGGGGAGGAGGAGGAGGAACACAGGGTTGGGTGGTTTGTTTTAGGCAAAAAAGGAAGTCCACATTAATTGTTCTATTCAGTCAGATATCCTCTAATGAGGCTGAAAAATCCTCCAAGGCCTCCTTCTCCTCTTTTCCTGTCTCTCTGGAAGACAATTATTGAATATGAGGGCTGGAGGAGACCCCTGGGATTGTCCAGTCCTCAGGTATGATTTTCCTACTGCTCCAAGCTGTTGCATGTTGCATGTGCAAACAGTACCTGAAGACCTCCTCAGCCTGAAGCACTTCCCCTAGCTTTTCCCTAGGCCACTTCAATATTTCCCTCCTCTGCTTCAAGTAGCTTTTCATAATTAAAATGCTTAGCAGGGGACAGTGGCAAACATTAGCTTATCCCAGTGACTCAGGATGAGGCAAGAGATTGACAAGTTCAAGGCTAGCCTTAGACCTTCTCTCAAAAACAAAATAAAAAGGGCTAGGGATGGAGCTCAGTGGTAAGAGTGCCTCTGGTTTCAAACCCCAGTACCAAACCAAACCAAACTAAAATAAAACAAATAACAAAACTCCCACAAAAAAAACCAAAATGACAACAAGAAACAAACCAACAAAAACCCCCAACCAACAAATGAGCAAAAATACATTTTATTTAAATCTCTCTCTGCAAAAGAAAAATGCAAATGGAAAGCTGGGTAAGAATGGGTTGATGGCCAGTCTTCTCTTAAAAATAAGTGATGGAAGCAAATTCCTCTGTAGAAAAACTGGGCACTATGTAATAAGAGCTTTAAAACACTATTTGACAAGTAGTTTTCCTTCCATAATATCCCAGGGAAAACACAGAAACTTAAACATAGTCACTTGTAAAGATGATCACAAAAAATTAGAAAATAAACCCAAAAATCCTGTCATAAAAAAACTGAAAAAGGACCGGGGGTGGGGGGAGGAGGTTGTGGCTCAGTGGTGGAAAGCTTGCCTAGCATGTGTGAGGCACTGGGTTTGATCTTCAAAACAAAACAAAAACCTGAACAAAATCCACAACAGTATAGTTTTTCAATAGAATGCTATAGAGATATCACAAGTGAAAAACTAAATCTAGTCATGAAAGACCAGGAAAGTCTTCATGAAATATATAGTAAGTGAAAAAAGTAGGCTGCAAAGTTATAAGCTGTAGTACTAAATGCATAAATGTGTTGAAAAAAGACTGAAGGGAAATATATTCATTATAACTAACGAGATTATCTCTATAATGCCTTATTTTCTTCTCTGTCCCTTTTTGTATTTTTCATATACTCTTATAGTCAGGAAATCCCCTTCATTATTAAATTATAACAACAAAATTCAGTCTCTAATTGTACACATTCCACTGTCAGGAGATATGGTTCAATGTCTAAAAACTCTCCTCTATATCTAACACCATAAACATCTTGTTAAGTCATAAACAGCTATTTAAAATGCATTATGTGCCATTGGTCTTGCTTTGTTAGACTTCCAGTTTCTAGAGTGTGAGGGTGGCTGTTCTTTGCATGCAGCTCAACACCTGATGCTAATGAATATTAAATATCTTATCAGATTCAGAAGTAAGTTATTTTCATTAATATACAACATCAACAGCTCTTAAATGATTTTCCACATGAATTAACCTTCACATTTTCTCCCAACTCTGTGGAAATCTAATTTTAATAGTCTTTCTTTCCACATTTTTTATTGGTGCATTATAGTTGTACATAATGATGGGATTTGATGTTACATATTCATACATGCACACAATATCAGTTGACCAATATCACTCCCCAGCACTCCCACCCCTGCGTCCTTTTCATCTACTGATTTTTGACTTTCATGAGATCCATGCCCCACGCCCTCATTTCTTTTTTCCTCTCTAGCTTTCACATGAGC